TTATTAAATGCAGCAAACGAGAGCCACCCGCACAAACGCGCAAAGCACATGTGAGTGAAGGCCAGCAATAATAAAATTCGGGCATACATGGTGTGTGAATGCGACACGCACACACGTGTGCATGTCGTGTTGTAAGACCACATGGGTCAAGATTGGCGTGGCACACCCCGTATACCCTAACGCACATATTACACTCAGTCGGAGCATATTCGTGACTCTAGCAAAGACGTAAATGCCATTGATAGTGGGTCGTAACGTATTCTGATTGGGAGCACGGGTGCTGGAGGAACATACAAAAAAAAACAAAGGTAACCATGGAATGGTTGGATCATAAAAAGAAAAATATAGGCATACATGCTCCTAATTACTTTTGAAGGAATCCTGTTGTTTTCTTCGCCCACTACCCCGTTGTACAAAAATGTGTACCCACGTATGTTGTGAATGGGGATGACAAAACAATTAATTGCGTTCATGCAAAAGCAATCACGCATCTCTCCCACGCCCCGACTCCACAGATGCATGGAGATAAATGAAGAAAGGGCCAAAAGACCAAAAAAAGCGGAGGAAGAAAAACAAAGCCTCAATAGAAGCAGCCACATCCAGAAGGACGACAAACGCGGAGGCTTAAGCTTTGTGCTTCAACGGTGATAAAAAAAGTGATTCTACACATTTATCACGTTCTTCATTATCGCCACAGCCCCTGCAATGAAACGCAGGGGCGGGTTGCAGGCGCACAATGGTACCGTAATCTCTCGCCCGTGCAGTTGTCTGTTTTTGTTCTGCTTAAAGTGCGTTCTTTTGGTTTACGGCGCCCCACGGAAAGCCACAAATTATGCCTACAGTACGCCCGAAAGCTACAATCACGCACACACCGAAACAGGGATGAAGAGAGGCCTGTACTGCATCTGTTACGCCACATACGAACGACAGCAACTCCAATAACTTCCTCTGCTCTCACGCAATAGTCGTTTCCACCCTGTTCGCTTTCATCCCTCGCCTCACTTCGCACGCAGGCACCGAGGTAGAAAAGAAAACGCTGGCACACATGTAGCTGCAAAAAACGCACTTACTTCCTCTTCACGAGTCTCAGTCTCCTTCGTTGAGAAGAATCCTTATCCCAGGCGGGGCACAATGCCGTCTTCAGCAGCCTCCCCTCCTCCCCTAAGGCATTGTGAGTGCACGTCGGTAAACTGAAGTGGAGCAGCACACACCACCCAAAAGGAAGTGAGGGCAACAAAATCACGCAGTAAAAACAAAACAACAATCACAACTACAAGAGCCACCCAAACGACCGCCAGCCTCGTTAACAAGCCACCGCCCACAGTCCTCTTTTCTTGCGTCCTTCACTGACACAACCCTAATCTCGTCTCCCGGCGCCCCCGCCTCCCTTGCCACGTCCCAGCGTTGACCGACGCGTGCCACTTCTCAGTCCCCCTGCTGGAGTGTTATCCGTGTGCAAATTGCCGCAGACGTGCGACCCACCGCCAGCCCCACCTCTTACATCAGTAACGTACCTCTGCAGTATCACAACAAGCAGAGCTAGTTGTCCTAGTATCAAGGCAATAATGGCATACTCGCCTTGCAAAGCCATCAGGCGGAGTCTCACTGCTCGTGTGATATAAAATCGCAAAAACCATAAGTACAGTCGTTCTGAGTACGTAAGTAACCCCTCACAGTGCCTCCAGCAAAACGCCTGATGACGTTCATTAATTGGGTAAATGTGATACCACGCAGAGTCTAGAAGTGTATCGGCGAGTTGACTTGTTGACAGGGACGGCAGGCGGCCATTCTCAACAACACAAGTTAAACACATTTCTTGCTCCTTTTCATTCATAAGATACGTCATAAAGTCATCGTAGCGACGATGCAGAAGATTGGATATACCCCTCTCCTTCGACACAGGCAACTGCTCTACCTGCATAATGATCAACGAAGCTCGTTTCATTCTCTCCGCACGGTCCCTATCAAGTGCCGTGTCACAGCCGAGGGTGTTTGGGTTTTCCTCACATGCACGAATAAAGGCGCTATGTGGTTTATCGTACCCCTGCGTAGCCCGTATAAGCGACGTGCTCCGTGACAACTGAAAGGTGTCCAGGCTGCGCAAAACATCACCACAAATGTTGCAATCTCCTGTTTTGTGAAGGAGTCGGCTAATGTCCAGCATCGCACTCTCCTTCGTCGGCAATCGTGAAAAATCGGCACAGAGGAATAACACAACGCACGCAAGAAGCAGCATGCCAAAAAAAATTTTAGTTGAAAAAAACATCTGCTTGTCGCTTTTTTTTTAAAAAATAATAATTATTCCTTTTTTCCCCTCTTCAGTTACTGTTGTTGGGGGTACTGGTGTTGGTGGCGGTGGCCCGTCTTGAATTCGCACTGTTGCTGCCTGAGCGCTCCGTGCCTCCCGCCTCTCAGCCCACCAAACGTCCACTGCTCACCGCAAACGCCTCTCAAAAATATCCACGCCACTTCCACAGTCTTTTACAAGGCCCCCCCTCTCTCCGTCTATCTGTAGCGCCACTCACTAGACAAATACAAAAATTGGCACTACTAAAAGAGAGGCGGAGCAACAGCGGATTCGTCCGTCTCCTCGTCCTTCTGCCACCTCAGTCACACGCGATAAACTCACCACACCACCAAAGACAGCAAAAGCCTCGTTGGAGTTTAATAGTAAGTCAGCACGCCACCCGGTACTGCCTAGTGCCTCTCACCTTGACACGTGCCACGGACCCTTTCTCTTGAACTTCTTAAAAAGCATCCACGCAAACAAGCAAACAAAAAGAAAAGAAACAAAGGACAACAAGGTGCATGTGGCTCTGCAGCAAACACTCCCCGATCAAGCACAGCATCCACACACACACACACACACAAAGGGAGGACCGGTCCCCCTCCTCAGTGTGTGTGTGTGTGTGTCGCCCCCACGTCGGGACAAACGCGACAAAGTGTAAATATGGTAGTGAGACAGGCATTGTCGAGATGGTCAGACACTGT